TCATTTAAATCGAAAAATGTTGTGTCTACAACAAGGCCCCTACAACTTTTGCACATGGATCTCTTTGGACCATCAAGAACAAAAAGTTTTGGGGGAAACTATTTCGCCTTTGTAATTGTTGATGACTACTCTCGATTCACATGGACATTATTTCTAACTCATAAAAGTGAGGCCTTTCATGTTTTCAAAACTTTTTTAAAAAAGGTTCAAAATTAAAAAGGCTTAACCACCGTAGCCATACGAAGCGATCATGGTGGAGAGTTCGAACGAGATCTCTTTACCGAGTTTTGTGACGAACTAGGCATCGAGCATAACTTCTCCGCTCCACGTACACCACAACAAAATGGCGTGGTGGAACGTAAACATCGTTGCCTTAAAGAGATGGCTAGAACTATGCTTGGTAAGGCAAAAATTCCTAAGTATTTTTGGGCGGATGCCGTGAGTACCGCGGGCTACGTGTTAAACCGAGCCGTCATTAGACCGATACTCATGAAAACCCCATACGAATTATACAAAGGAAGAAAGCCAAACCTCTCCCATCTTTGAGTCTTTGGTTGCAAATGTTTTGTTCACAATAACGGAAAAGATAATTTGGGTAAATTCGATGCAAAGTCGGATGAAGGAATTTTTCTTGGTTATTCATTGCGTAGTAAGGCTTATAGAGTCTTCAACAAACGCACCTTAACCGTTGAGGAATCTCCTCATGTTGTCTTTGCCGAAAATGATGCTCGCTTGGCGAGAAAGGTTTCTTGTGATGATCTTGTAGATTCGTTGGAGAACATCTATCTCAACGACGATGACGAAGTAGACAACTCAAAGGAAAGCCAAGATGAAGAAGTAGAGCCACTCGTAAACGAGGAACAACCACAAGAGGAGGAAACGCCAATTCCAAGGGCATGGAGGACTTCAAAGAACCATCCTCTTGACAAGGTGATCGGTGACATCAACCGAAAGGTAAGTACTCGTAGCTCTCTTAGGGACACTGTAGGTCACATGGCTTTTGTCTCTCAAATTGAACCTACAACCATTTCGGAAGCAATTGATGATGAACATTGGACCTTGACAATGCAAGAGGAGCTTAACCAATTCAAACGAAAAGACGTTTGGGAATTGGTGCCAAGACCCGATGATCACACCATAATTGGTACGAAATGGGTGTTCCGTAACAAACTCGATGAAAATGGAATAATCACTAGAAACAAAGCTAGGCTCGTAGCTAAAGGCTACAATCAAGAAGAAGGCATTGATTTTGAAGAAACTTATGCACCAGTAGCACGTTTAGAAGCTATTCGTTTATTACTCGCTTTTGCTTCATCTATGGATTTTAAACTATACCAAATGGATGTTAAGAGCGCCTTCCTCAATGGTTTTATTCAAGAGGAGGTGTATGTTGATCAACCCCCGGGCTTTGAAGATTTTGAGCACCCGGAGTATGTCTATACACTAAAGAAAGCACTCTACGGTTGTAATACCCCGTATTAAGAAGGGAATGTGAAGAGCTCAAAAGGATTGATAGTACTACTCATACCATCAAGGTGCATCTTCTTTTCGAGAGCTCATCAACTAAAAACTCCAAAGTTAAGCGTGCTTGACTTGGAACAATTTTAGGATGGGTGACCCCCTGGGAAGTATTACTTGGGCGCATGAGTGAGGACAAAGTGTGCGGGAAAGACTTGTGTTGGTTTGTGGGGGCCAGTATACAATCCTATTAGCAGACACTTACGGCTAGGGTGGGGGCCGAGGTGTTACAAATGGTATCAGAGCAATCCCGCGACCGTGACGGGCCAAAAAGAGCTTAGTTCACCTAGCGGGGAAGATCTAAGGGTTTAAAAAAAGAAGGGTGCAACGAGGACATTGCATTCCTAAGTGGGGGTGAATGTAATACCCCGTATTAAGAAGGGAATGAGAAGAGCTCAAAAGGATTGATAGTACTACTCATACCAACAAGGTGCATCTTCTTTTTGAGAGCTTATCACCTAAAAACTCCAAAGTTAAGCGTGCTTGACCTGAAGCAATTTTAGGATGGGTGACCCCTTGGAAAGTTTTACTTGGGCGCGCATGAGTGAGGACAATGTGTGCGGGAAAGACTTGTGTTGGTTTGTGGGGGCCAGTCTACAATCCTATGAGCAGACACTTACGGCTAGGGTGGGGGCCGGGGTGTTACAAATGGTATCAGAGCAATCCCGCGACCGTGACGGGCCAAAAAGAGCTTAGTTCACCTAACGGGGAAGATCTAAGGGTTTAAAAAAAAGAAGGGTGCAACGAGGACGTTGCATTCCTAAGTGGGGGTGAATGCAATACCCCGTATTAAGAAGGGAATGAGAAGAGCTCAAAAGGATTGATAGTACTACTACTCATACCAACAAGGTGCATCTTCTTTTTGAGAGCTCATCACTTAAAAACTCCGAAGTTAAGCGAGCTTGACCTGGAGCAATTTTAGGATGGGTGACCCCCTGGGAAGTTTTACTTGGGCGCGCATGAGTGAGGACAATGTGTGCGGGAAAGACTTGTGTTGGTTTGTGGGGGCTAGTCTACAATCCTATGAGCAGACACTTATGGCTAGGGTGTGGGCCGGGGTGTTACAAATGGTATCAGAGCAATCCCGCGACCGTGACGGGCCAAAAAGAAATTAGTTCACCTAGCGGGGAAGATCTAAGGGTTTAAAAAAAGAAGGGTGCTACGAGGACGTTGCATTCCTAAGTGGGGGTGAATGCAATACCCCGTATTAAGAAGGGAATGAGAAGAACTCAAAAGGATTGATAGTACTACTACTCATACCAACAAGGTGCATCTTCTTTTCGAGAGCTCATCACTTAAAAACTCCAAAGTTAAGCGTGCTTGACCTGGAGCAATTTTAGTATGGGTGACCCCCTGGGAAGTTTTACTTGGGCGCGCATGAGTGAGGACAATGTGTGCGGGAAAGACTTGTGTTGGGGGAACTCAATTTCTTCTTGGGGTTACAAGTCAAACAAATGAGGGAAGGGACCTTCATTTGTCAATCAAAGTATTGCAAGGAGCTCCTAAAGAGATTTGAAATGGATGGCTCCAAAGCAATGGCTACCCCAATGAGCACCTCCGAGCACCTGGACAAAGATGAAAAGGGTAAGGAAGTAGACGTAAAGAAGTATCGAGGTATGATCGGATCCCTTCTTTATCTTACCGCTAGTAGACCCGATATCATGTTTAGCGTTTGTTTATGTGCAAGGTATCAATCTTGTCCGAAAGACGATTCTTCATGGTGATAGAATTGATAATATTTACATGGTTAACTTAGATGAATCTCCCTTCGACATTGCGAAATGTCTCATGAGTAAGGAGGACGATATGTGGCTATGGCATCGTAGAGTAGCTCATGTCAACATGAATCTTTTGAATAAATTGGTTTCACAAGACCTAGTAGTTGGACTTCCAAAACTCAAGTTTGAGAAGGACACCATTTGTGATTCAAGTCAAAAGGGCAAGCAAGTAAGGGCCTCATTTAAATCGAAAAATGTTGTGTCTACAACAAGGCCCCTACAACTTTTGCACATGGATCTCTTTGGACCATCAAGAACAAAAAGTTTTGGGGGAAACTATTTCGCCTTTGTAATTATTGGTGACTACTCTCGATTCACATGGACATTATTTCTAACCCATAAAAGTGAGGCATTTCATGTTTTCAAAACTTTTTTAAAAAAGGTTCAAAATGAAAAAGGCTTAACCACCGTAGCCATACGAAGCGATCATGGTGGAGAGTTCGAACCAGATCTCTTTACCGAGTTTTGTGACGAACTAGGCATCGAGCTTAACTTCTCCGCTCCACGTACACCACAACAAAATGGCGTGGTGGAACGTAAAAATCGTTGCCTTAAGGAGATGGCTAGAACTATGCTTGATGAGGCAAAAATTCCTAAGTATTTTTGGGCGGATGCCGTGAGTACCGCGGGCTACGTGTTAAACCGAGCCGTCATTAGACCGATACTCATGAAAACCCCATACGAATTATACAAAGGAAGAAAGCCAAACCTCTCCCATCTTCGAGTCTTTGGTTGCAAATGTTTTGTTCACAATAACGGAAAAGATAATTTGTGTAAATTCGATGCAAAGTCGGATGAAGGAATTTTTTTTGGTTATTCATTGCATAGTAAGGCTTATAGAGTGTTCAACAAACGCACTTTAACCGTTGAGGAATCTTGTAACGCCCCGAAATCTGGCCCAAAAGAATTAATTAAATTGTTAGAGCAATTGATTACGAATTGGGCCTAAAAAGGGGTTAAATTTATAATTTGGATTCTAAGCCCAACTTTTATGTCATCTCATAGGAAATATTTTTGTGATCGCGTCGGTTCAGACGGCTCGCAAATCGGAGTTTTGGAGCTCATGTTATGACCATCTAATCAGGTATTTTGGGTCCGAAGCCCAATCCTCTTAGGAATGGGATCATTAAATAAACCTAAACCTACCCGTCTTCCATTCGGATCTGAGAGCCGCGCACTTCAGCATCACCTTCTCCTTCGTTGCTCTCGATCGCCGCCGTGAGCCAGCCGCCGGTCATCCTCCCTGCCGTTCGACCACGCCGGCGTCGCCCGAGCCAGACGCCGCTCATCGCCGGTCACCCTTCCCCAGACAATCGCCGCCGCTGCTTCCTTCGCTAGAGGTCCGCCGTCAGCATCAGCGCTGCCGACGA